CTGACTCACGCTGATCCCACATGTCACAGAACAGAACTGAGCTCCATAGGGTTTTCTCGGCTGTCGTCTTTATGGAGAGATTTGGGTGGCCCAAACGGTAAGGCACTCGACTACTAACCAAAGGCTGGCAGTTCAAACCCACCCAGAAACTCTTTGGAAGACAGGCCTGGAGATCAGCTTCCAAAAGGCCACAGTCTTGAAAACCCTATAGAGCAGTTCTACCGTGCACAGATGGGGTCACTATGAGTTGGAATCGACTCAGCAGCAACTAACAACAACCACCTTTCTGGAAGCAGATCGCAAAGGCTTTCTTCTGAGGCGCTGCTGGGTGGGTCTGAACCATGACCTTTTAGGTTAGTAGCAGAGTGTAAACGGTTTTTGCCACCCAAGGACCTCTTTATACAGATCCCATAACCCACTGCCATTGAGTCGGTTCTGACTCATAGCGACCCTGTAGGACAGAGTAGGACTGCGCCGTAGGGTTTCCAAGGAGCGGCTGGTGGATTCCAACTGCCGACTTTTGGTTAGCAGCTGTAGCTCTTAACCACTGTGCCACCAGGGCTCCTTCATACAGACAGATGCTGCTAAATATTGATATTAATCCACAAGCATATGATTTTAACTGAGCATATGCATTGCTTGGAAGGCATTTTTATAATTAGATTCTCCTCTTTGATATTTGCCTTCTAGCATGTCATTACATTGCGGATTAATCATTGCTGATTGAAGCGTAGATGGAAGTAGCTCAGCTGCATAGCTGAATAGATTTTTGAAATATGGAAACGTCCTTTCCACTTGCACTGGGATCTGAAAAAACTTGCTGGAGCTGTGATATGATCTTGGAAGATACAGCCGCTGCAAATTTGTGTGGGAATGGAGATTTTGCTTCTTCTTCTAACTTTTGAAAGCATGGGAAGAGTAGTAAGCCGCTTGATATTACTTGTGATTCAGATAAAGTTATTTGTTGAAATGACTTTATTGCAGTGTAAGTTTAACATATATGTGCCATTTTGCCTTGTAACTTTAGGCTAAATTGATTAAGAAACATCAACACAGCAGCAAAAGCTAATTTCCAAAGCCATACAGTGTTTGATAATAGTGGTTGAAGCCAGTTCTTCCTGTCCAGAAAAGTTTTACTCTTGGCCCCGAGCTCAAAAATCACAATAAAACTTTACTACTGTCAAGTTATCACACTGCTGTGTGGTAGGGCAAGTCAGGATATTCAGCTTCTATTTCTAACAAAAATTCACGCACCTGATAATGTTTAAGTCCATGAAAGAGAACAAAGTTCACCGTTAGCACTACTAGTTCACTAAAGCATGGTGGACTCAACTCTTTTCCACGAAGTACCTACTGATGAATTATGCAATGAATGACATAGACTTTAAACACCTTACATTTTCACAAGCTTTGTAAATTTGCCCAGCTAAGCCTTTTTCGGAGCCCTGGTGGTGCAGTGGTTAAGAACTTGGCTGCAAACCAAAAGGTCAGCTGTTCAAATCCACCAGTCGCTCCTTGGAAACCAAATGGGGCAGTTCTACTCTGTCCTATAGTGTTGCTATGAGTCAGAGTCGACTCGACGGCAATGGGTTTGGTTTTGGTTTTTTGAAGAGTTTTTCTGCTCCACGTATAGTTTTACACCCTCAGTTATAACACATTAGATTCCAGTTGAGGTTGTACGTAATTCGTATTTTCTCAGCTTCTGTGAAATATTTCTTTCCTGTAGTTGTTCCACGTAAACAATCCACAGAGGCAAATTTTTCAGCGATTTCAAGCTCTGCATTGACTCCTCGAATAAACAACAACTGAGCAGTATGGGTAATACCCGTTCACTCAAGAGCCGAGGAAAACCACTCAAAATCATTTGCCTTGTTTTTTAAATTGACTATTGACGTGTCTCCCAACGTTCCCAAGTCTTTGAGTAACCATTCTCACCGGAATGCTAATTATCTTAAACAAGTTTATTTCTTCTGGATACATCACACACTTTAATTTACCATCGGTATGTGGCTTTCCTTGCGTGGCTAACAAATGAGCCACTCAGAAGCTTACCATGGATGCAGCCTCATTCTCCTTTTTGCCAAGAAATTCTGCTGTGATGAGACAGTCCGTTTTAAATTTTCTAATTTTTCTGACTGTCACTTTCCTGAATTAGGACTTCTGTGATGAGTGCTTAGTCTGGTAAAGTCGACCTATATTATATCCTTTTAGCACAGCTATAGTAGTATAGCAGGGTCCTGGTAGTACAGCGGTTCAGCGTTTGGCGGCTAACCAAAACGTGGGCAGTTTAAATCCACCAGCTGCTCCTTGAAAACCCTATGGGGCAGTTCTGCTCCGTCCTATGGGGTCACTAGGAGTAGGAACCGACTTGACAGCAACGAGTTGCAGTAGTACAGCATAATAAACACAATGCTCTTCCATCTATTTCAACAACAAAATAATCCACACCCCACTGTGCCTTGAAAATGGGATACTCAAAGTCTACTTTTCTTGTTTTGACATGATAGGTATACAGTGGTTTAAAAAAAAAGGAGCAAAACACTGCGGTACAGTGATGCACAGCACAGGAAGCATCACTGAGTCAGAATCGTGTCAGTGTGAGACGGTGTTTGCTCAGTTCGGATCCGTGAGTGGGCCGCTATAGTCCGTCCTGGCAACTCTTCAGCTCTGTGGATGTCGGGAAAACAGCCGCGTGTAAGGAGTGGGTGTGGCTGTGTGGTGATAAAACTCTGTCTGTGGACAGTGAAATTGGAATTTTATATAACTTCCATGTGTTACAAAAGATTATTCTTCTATTGATGTTTCCCCCAACCATTTGAAAATATAAAAACCCTTTTTAGCTCAGGTTGGATTTGGCCCACAGGCTGTGGTTTGCCAACCCCTGCTTGGAAATAACCATCTGATGATTAAACTAAAACCCAACTAGTTACCTTTGAGTTGATTCCAGCTCACGATGATCCCGTGTGTGTCAGAGTAGACATCTGCTCTTGTAAGGTTTTCTTTCTTTCTTTTTTAAAAAAAATTTTATTTTGTTGTTGCTGTCAAGAAGAAACATAGCAAAACATACACCAGTGCAAACGTTTTCACATGTGCAATTCAGTGATATTGATTACATTCTTCAAGTTGGGCCACCATTCTCACCTTCCTTTTCTGGGTTGTTCCTTCTGCATTGACATAAACTCACTGCCCCGTAAGTTTCCTATCTAATCTTTCCAGTTACTGTTGTCACTTTGATTCCATATAGATAGTTCTTAAAAGAACATAGTGCTCAAGGCAGACATTTTTTACTAGTTAAGTTAAACTATTGTTTGGTGTTAAGAAGACTTCAGGGGATATTTTTGGTTTATTTTAAAGATTATCTCAGGGCAATAGTTTCAGGGGTTCATCCATCCCCCTTGGCTTCAGGAAGGCTGGAGCCCATGAGAATTTGAAGTTCTGTTCTACATTTTCCCCCTTTTGATCAGGAATCTTTGCTCAAAATGCTCCATAAGGTTTTCGACAGCAGATGTTTTGAAAGTAGATCACTGGGCCTTTTTCTGAGGTGCCTCTGGGTGGAACCTCCCGTTAGTGTGTTGACTGTTCACCACCCAGGGATCCCACTCAAAAAGAAAGGTCTTGTGTAATTAGGAAATACCATGACTCCTGTTCCCAGACACCACTGCCATCCAGGCTAGTACTGAGCTTTCTTTGAGCTTCTCCTCTAGAGTCCATACTTCAGGCAAACTGCAAAGGATGGCAGTTGGGGGAAGAGTATCACACAAGGCCAAGGCTATTGAGAAAGACACGTGTTTATCTTGAAGGCCCAGCGGGCCTAATGTGCAGGAAAGGTGAGCAGATAAATTCTAGGTACTTTTTGAGGGACTGGGAAGACTCGAAGTCAAAGAACCTGAAATTCCACGATTGGTTTAAAGCCGTGAGTCTTGTTTCACTGTCAGTTAAGCTCTGTCTCTCATAATATCAGTAACCCTTGCTTGCTCCTCCAGCTCGCCACATTGTGTAGACACACAACTCATCAGGAGAGCTACCCTATAGGTTTAACATTCTTGTTCCCATAAGGCTGGTGAGCGGCTAGCTGGGCCTGAAGCCAGGTCTTCTCTGCGAGCCTCTCGAGCCTCGAGCCTCGGCTCCTTTCATGAGAATCACTCTGAGGGGGGGGACAGCGGTGGAGAGACTCCTGAAGCCAGGTGTGGGGCCGAGCGAGGCACGTGAAGGGTGCTGAAAACACTTCCTCTCCCGCACTGGTTTTCTCAGGCCGGCCCTGAATGGGAATAGCTTGTCCCCTGGCGATTCCTGCTTTTGTCACCGTCATCCTCACGCTTAGATTCCCGGTAAGTATATTCTCCTCTGAGCTGAGCTGAGTGAAGCTGACAGCCTCCAGTGCCCCCTGTGCCATCCCGGGGACGCCGAGCAGCTGGGCCCTGAGCGTCCTCAGCCGAGTTCGTTACCCCTGCGCTCTCCCCACAAACTGATGGGGTCGGTGCCACCAATGAGGGCGTGCATGCACGAAAGGACCACCGGGCCCAGGTGCGGGCATGCGGAGGACCACCGGGCCCAGGTGCGTGCGTGCGTGCGGAGAACTCTCGGGCCCAGGTCAAAGCTCTCTCCGCGCGCTCGGCCGCTGGGGTTTGGGCAGGAGGAGCGCGTCGGGGCCGCGGGGCGGGGCTGGGAGGAGCCCGGACGGCGGGAGCCTGCAGCGGCGGCGGGCGCCTCGGAGTCGCCGCGCGCCGTGGGGGTCGCAGGGGAGGGCCGCGTGGCGCGCTGCTGGCCTCAGACGCACAAACATGGTTTGCTCCGCGGCAAAGGGGAGCGGGGCCGCTCGGGCGGGCGGACCCAGCGATGCACGCGGAGTCGCCACTCCGCTGGGAAGGGGGCGAGAACCGCCAGGCCGCGCTGTCTCTTTAAGACCATGTTCCTGCTAACCCCGGAGGTGAGTAACCTGGCCCCCGATCCGGGAGAAAGGATCCGGGGAGGAGGGATGGGTCCCGGTTCCGGAGGCTTGGTCTGGATAGGCAGATGAGAGTACAAGTCTTAGGCCGTGGAATTTGGGGAAGTTATGAATGGGGGGCGCCCCACCTTGAGCCCAAACCCCCAGGTACCTTGTAAATTTTACCAGGACTCCTGGAGGGGCGGTGAGACTAAGCAAGGCCACGTTCCAAAGGGGAGGAGAGTGCCCACCTGGCTTCGGCCTGCACAGCACAGTCCTTCATGAAACGCGGTAAGCCCAGTGGTCTGTCAGCTAGGGGGATGAAAGCAAGAAGCTGCAGGTCTGCTGGGTGGGGAGACAGAGCAGCCAGCTCCTGTTCTGCCAGGTGGGGCTGGGGCACCCGGTTCTTCAGTTTCCTGAGCTGAGAGGTGGAGCTGTGCCTGCCTCGGGCCGGGCCCACGGAGGGGGCATCCGGCAGCCCCCTTGGGGCCTTAGAGGGCAGAGTAGCAAGCAGTGGAGAGGTGGCTGGCAGCACTGGGCCTCCCTGGCACCCACTGGGGTTTGCCCATCGGGCAAGTCAGAGTGGGAGAGGCCCAGCGGTTTGATGACACAGAGTGAGCAGAATGAGAATTGTGAAGTCACAGAGGAAGTGGGACAGCGTCGCCGGGGCCTGGGGCCAATGCCGGGGGAGGAAGGGCAGCGCCAGGCAGCGTCAGTGCTTTCTGCCTGTGGAGGGAGCCTCTGGGACCAGCAGGGCAAATCTGGTGTCCATGGTGGACTCATGAGTCGGGTGAGGCCACCCCGCCGCAAAGGCCCCCCTCCCCATCCTGCACAAAAATGAAAACAATCCCCTGTCCACACTCTGAAGGCCTAAATACCGCCCAAACCATGAGGAAGGAAGGCAGCAGAGAGACTGAGTGGCGCATTCGCTGTCCCCCTCTCTCCCAAACCTCCTCCGGGGCAGACAGGCTTGCTCTGTCCAGCCCCAGCTCTGTGAGTGTTCTGTTCCTCCTGAGTAGCTGACTTGCAGGATTGGGGTCACAGGGCTCTGGGGGATACATGCCCTGGAGAGCAGATGCGTCCGGAAGACCACCACTGACCCGTCACCCTCCTTCTCCAGATACAGAGGCCTCCATGGCTGTGATAAGCCTGCTGTTCTTGGCAGTGATGTATGTCGTGCACCACCCCTTGCTGGTCAGTGACCGGATGGACCTGGACACGTTAGCCAGAAGCCGGCAGCTGGAGAAGCGAATGAGCGAGGAGATGCGCCAATTAGAGATAGAGTTTGAAGAGAGAAAGCGAGCAGCTGAGCAGAGGCAGAAGGCCGAGAACTTCTGGAGGGGAGAGACACCCAGTGACCAGTTAGTGCTGGGGAAGAAAGACATGGGGTGGCCTTTCCAGGCTGATGGCCAGGAGGGGCCTCTGGGCTGGATGCTGGGAAACCTGTGGAACGTTGGCCTCTTTTGCCTTTTTCTCCTCTTTGAGCTCCTGCGGCAGAGCATGCAGCATGAGCCGGCCTTTGAGTCCAGCAGTGATGAGGAGGAGGCGGAAATCCGTGTTGTGCCCGTCACTTCCTGCAGCTGGCTCACAGACTTCCCCTCCCAGGAGGCCCTGGAATTCTTTTATGAGCACAATGTCCACAGTGCTACCCGTGACCTGCCCTGCACCTGTGAGTTCGTGGAGAGCTTCGTGGACGACCTGATTGAGGCCTGTCGGATGCTCAGCCGCCGGGAGGCTCACCTGCAGCTGGAAGACTGCCTGGGCATCGGGGCTGCCTTTGAGAAATGGGGAACTAGCCATGAGACCGAAACATTTGATATTTTGGTGCCCATAGTCCCCCCTCAGGGCTCCATCTTTGTCTTGGAGATGAGGGATCCGGCCCTGGGCCGGCGCTGTGGCTGTGTGCTGGTGGAGCTGGAGTGTATGTGCAAGTGTGAGAAGCTTCCGGGTGACGTGCTGTGCCTGGTGCACCAAAACAAGAACCAGCCGGCTGTCCCAAGGAGGTCTAACAGCTCCCTCAAGGCGTCCCTCTGCACCGGCTCCCACCTGGATGTGCACAAGACCGTACAGTGGTTCCGGAACATGATGGGCAACGCCTGGGCCCTTGTGGCCCACAAGTATGACTTCAAGCTCAGCCTCCCCCCATCCACCACCTCCTGCAAGCTCAGGCTGGACTACCGCTCAGGCCGCTTTCTCTCAATCAGCTTGGTCCTGGGGGTGCAGCGGGAAGACACCTTGGTCTACCTGGTGAGTCAGGCCCCTGACCAGGAGCAGCTCACCAGTGTCAACTGGCCCGAGTCCTTTGCAGCCTGCGAGCACTTGTTCCTCAAGCTGGTAGGGCGTTTTGCTCCGGAGAACACCTGCCACCTCAAGTGCCTCCAGATCATTTTAAGTCTCTGGGAGCTTCAGGACTTATCCCCCGGGGCGTCCTGCCCCGTCCTCACCTCCTACCACTTCAAAACGGCCCTCATGCACCTGCTTTTGCGGCTGCCCCTGACAGACTGGGAGCCCGGGCTGCTCTCTCAGCGGCTGCAAGACCTCCTGTGGTTCTTGGGCCGTGGCCTCCAGCAGAGGTCCCTCCATCACTTCCTCATTGGCAACACCCTCCTGCCCCTGACCATCCCGATCCCTAAGACCTTTCGGGATGCTGAGCCTGTCAATCTCTTCCAACACCTGGTGCTAAACCCTACGGCACACTCACAGGCAGTGGAAGAGTTCCACAACCTCCTGACCCGGGTGAAAACTCTGCCTTGTGGTCCGCTGGCTGGAACGCATTGATGTAAAGGCTATTAAAAGGGGAGGAGGTGTTTCTGATTCCCCAGGCTGTAAAGAGTTTATTTTTCAGATAGTCTCAGCAGTGTATATGAGCTTCACCTTGCCAGTGGGGCGATTACAGGCAAAGACCCTAGACAGGTGTGTGAGTTGGTCATGAGGATGGGGTGTAGTCTGCAGGGCCTGATTTAGGGGGGTTCTTCGGAGGTTTTCTTCTCCTGACTTTCATCATGACCCAAAGAGGGTCCAGGGAAACGATATGATGGGAGGGACTTACTGCTAAAGAACTGAGATCCGGAAGGGGAACTGAGAAGCTGTGCTTTTGTTTTAACGCTGGAAGGGAAGGAGAAGCGGAGAACACCTCCACTGCAGCTTATTCTCGCGTGTGAGTGACTCCCAGCTCGCTCCTTGTAAACTGGTTTCCTTGTTGAACTGTCAGCTTAATTCACATCAGAGTTGATGGCACTTCATTTTATCCCAGTCAGATACTGTGACGGCAACTTCATGTCTTTTAGGATCTAATGTTTCAGACCTTCGCTATTTAAAAATATAACAAGACATTTGTTTTCCGTTTTCTTAATTTAGCCCTATTTTCGTATGACAATATAGCTATTTTATGCATCTGAAAAAACTCCAGTACTACCCAGATAATTTCTTAGCACTGATTTAACAGCTATTAAGTCAATAGTGACCTGTCCCGTAACTGAGATGATGTGTTTACAAGAGCCAACATCTGACGACCTTTACAGCGCCTGGAAGCTGTAACAAGGACAATCTGTTTTGAGGCTCTAAGCTCTAAGATGAACAATTACTTTGTTCCCGAGGGGGAACCGCTTGTTAAAGGAAAGAAGGCTTAGCTACCATCTATGGCTGTGATTTTTCTCTCAGTCTAGTAATACCTTTGTCGTCTCTTTTCAGAGACGACAAAGGGATTATTTGAACTATATTTGCAGTTTTGAAAAGCGGGCTTACCACCATCCAGGCTGATTGCCAGGGTTGGACAGGAAGGGACTGGAGCAGCCCAGCTCTACCAAGTAGTGATTCTAGAGATGTGATTGGGGTATTTTTCCCCTTCAAAACGTCGGGCCTCCTGAGGAGTGTTAAGAAACACAATTATAGTTGTGGGTGGGGTTGTTTTGGAAATACTAATGCTGTTGCTACCCAGGACAGGAAGATCTGCTGGGGAGGAGAGCCCGGGTAGCCTGACGTTCGCCTGACCTCAGGGGATCAGATATGGCCTTTTTAGGCTTCAGTCCTGGCAAGGATAAATGACGTGTCCCAGCAGCTGACGCCGGCCGACAGCCGGGGGTCCTGCTGCAGGGTCTCTGCTGAGCCTCCATGTGACCTGCTGGCATGCGCCAGGTACTGCTTTCAAGCCGAGGAGCAGTGATGGTGGGATTTTTGTGCTTTGAAAACCACCCGTCTGCTGTTTGTTTAGAAAACAAGTCACTGGGGTTTTTGTTTCACGTCAGTAAAGGAGGCTGTTTTCTGGACAAACTGGAATCTGTGCAATAACACACAGCAGGTCGGCGCTCACACGTGCTCTTCCCGAGGAGTTCAGGTTACTCTGAAAGCTTGATGTAGTCCACCCTGGCATTTCTCGGGCTACCTTGAGCTAGGCTGCCTTGCGGTTTCCCAGTGGCATGGCCAGTAGCCAGGAATGGATAACTGAGTGCTAAGGAGCAGACAGGCGATTCGTTTTCATGGTGCCCAAGCCACAGGTCTTAGCAGCGATAAACAAATGCATAAGCGCTGGAAACATGAGTCTGCTCAGGCAGAAAGCAGGTGGTATGGTTTTCCAGGACTGCATGGTTGTTTCTAGTCTAACAGGAATCAAGAAAGAAAATGTAAAGTTATGTGTGGGTAGAAGACTTAGAAAGGGAACAGCAAAGCTTGGGTGGGGCAGAGGGTGCCAGAAAGAGTAGGAAAAAACAAGTAGTAATGGGAAGAACACAGCTACAGTGTTCTGGGAACAGGCTTACAATTAAAGAGGAAACCTTTTCAGATATTTAGGAAGCCGAGCTTTATTCCAAAACAAACCTGGCTAGCACCCAGGATATACCAGGGTATAACAATGGGATTTCTTAGTGTCCATTGAGTGTTGCCAGCGGGGTGCTTCACATCTGGTAACTCATTCAGTCCTCACACTACAAACCCACGGAGTGGGCCCTTTACTGCCTCCATTGTACACTGAGGAAGCATGAACACAGGGAATGCAGCTTGCGCAGGGTCGCACAGTAAGTGGCAGGGCCACAGGAAGAACATGCCCTGGCAACCTTGCTGAGTGGTCTTGGGAATAAAATGAAATGAAGGGGTTAGAGTGCTTTGAAAAGCGAAGAAGTACTGTGTTAATTTTAAGATGAAGGGTCGTGTGCTATTGTTTGGAAATTCTAGAAGACAGGAATTGGTGGTTCTTGGCCCAGTCTTTGGGAGGTCAGGAATTTCATATCACACATGCAAATTACAGGCATTTGCTCAGAGGCCAAAATGAATGCAAAGCCAGTTCCAACTAGGAGTCCGTTGAGCCTCACAGTGACTTTACGGTTACCTCGTTAACCGCATCATCAGTCCGCAGCGGGCCGGAAGCTCGGGGCACGTAAGCAGTCAGAGGACTGCTCTCCAGGTAGCCCAACCGATGCCACCAGTTGTGACCTAAGCCTCGAGTCGACGGCACACGACAACAACAACAGACCAAAGCCAAACATGGTTCCAGTTTATTCTGCGGGAGGATTTGCAGCGAGGAGAGTAAGGGGGAGGAGGGAATGGTCCCCGCACTGCTTTTCTGGCAGAGGTTGAGTGGGAGAGTGGCCCCAATGCCACTTTCTTTTTGTACAAATAGAGGAATTGAGCTTTGTATACCACTGACACATCATTCAATCTTTTGGCATTCTCTGAAGCCCTAACCCAAGAAACAAAGATGGCATTCAGAGCAGAGCGTGCAAGACCAGCCTGCACTGGGCGGGCCTGGCCCACAGAGACACTGGGGGTGGAGCTGGCTCTGTCCCCCACCACATTGCCCCAAGCAATCAGCCCCTAAAACCAAACCAGTTGCCATCAGTCTACTCCAACTCATGAGGACATCAGGTGAGTCAGAGGAGAACTGTGCTCCATACGGTTTTCTCATTTTACTGTGGTAAAAATAAAACATATGCCATTGCTCCATAGGATTTTTCGATGGCTGATTTTTCAGTAGATCGCCAGGGCTTTCTTCCAAGGTGCCTTTTGGTTAGCAGCCTTAACCATTTGTACCACCCAGGGACTCCAAGCAGTCAGCCCAGGAGGCTCTGTTATCACCACAGAACAGCCTCTTGCCTCCACCCAGGGGGTCAACCAGTACCCTTCCTCTACCAGGACTGCCAAGCCCTTCAGATGCTGCTGGTTCATTTCCTCCTATCCTCCCACCTCCACTGCTCTTAGTGCACACAGGCAATGCAGAATATCACAGTGTTTCCACGCTCCTCCCTCAGATGCTCTCAGCACACAGAGAATAAGCAGGTGAGACGGCAGAGATCCTAGCACACAGGGAGCCTACATGCTCACAGGGAAGCCCAGCAAAGGGGGTATTATCATCTCCTTTTTACATACAGGGAAGAAAATGAGGCCCTGAGAGGTTAAATAACCTGCAAAATTGCAAGGGTGACAAGTTCTACTAAAGTCTATGGTAAGGGGACTTGGCTGTATCAGGGAGGGCCTCCTTGAGGAAGTGATGTGAGCTGACACCTAACTGGGTGAAGACAGGAAGAGGACCTGAGGTAGAGGAAGTGGCAAGTGCAGAGCTCTGTGGTGGAGGGACATGGTGAGGCCAAGTCTGAAAGAAGGCCCATGTGGCTGGAGGCCAAGGAGCAAGGGGAGGCTGGGTGCAAGCCTGGGGAGGCTGCAGGGACCTCCCAAGGCAAGGGGAGCCTTTGAAGGCAAGGCTTCGGGGATGAAGTGGGGTTGGGGGGAGGGGAAGAGGAAGTGAGAGTAACAGGTCAGATTTGTACTTGGCAAACACCACTGTGGGCCCAGTGGGGGGTCAAAGTTGCTGCAGACCAGTGCGGAGAAGGTAATGTGGACTAAAAGAGACTCAGAAGGATTGAAGAGAAATAAAGAAGACCCTGATCATTGTGTGTGGGGATTAAGGGGAGGGAGCAGGGTGACTGCGGTGCTGATTCGGGTCCCTGGATGGCTGGTGGGGTCATTCACAGAGATGCAGAGCACTATAAACTCCTTATCTTTCTTCTATCCCATACCGCCTTAACGTTACAAATTTAAACGTGGTCACTGTAACAAGTTCATGCAAAAAATAAATAGGTTTAAAAAGTGGTTTTCAACAAAAAGAAGTACTTTTTGGCTGCCAAAATGACTGAGGGGCATTGACAGCATTTAGTGGGCTGGGGGGTCAGGGACACTGAACAGTCCTGCAAAGAGGGTGTGGTCCCACATGTCAAGAATGGCTTCACCCCAAATGCCAATGGCAGCTGGAGAAGCACTGTCAAAGATGCCAGGTGTGTGAGTTCTAAGAAATGACAGAACGTTTTAGGCATATTTGGGGCCGTTGCCCTGGCCTTTCTTCCCACCATACAATTCTTGGGGCCCGATGAGCCACAAAGAAGGGATAGAGGCATTTACACCTGTCTCAAATCCGACCTTAACCTTTTGTTATGGAAGTGGGAGGGCGAGATTTCCAGGAGGCGTCTCACAAGAACTTCAATAAAAGCGATTGCCTTCACTCAAACAATAAAACGTACATGGCATCTTGCATCTTTCCTTCCCCTGCCTGGAACGCTCCTTTGCCTGGTCGCCTCGCTCTCCACACCCCACCCCCGTCTACCCCAGCGTTTTGCTGCCCTCATGGACAGGTGACTGTGGGGAATTAACCTTGCTTCCTCGGGCCTCTGCCTCCTGTTAGGGAGTGAGGTCCCGGAAAGCAGAGCCCCTTGCCTCTCGCTTGACGTTGGGTCCCATTTGGCGCCTGGCGCTCGGAAGGAGTGCGTTTTCATACCACTTCAGGCTGCCCATGGACCTGATGGCGCAGGATCAAAAACCCACTGCCAAATCGACCCAACTCATT